GCTGGCGGTGTAAAAAGGAGAGGCAGACCCATGACCGAGCGCCATAACCAGCAATTCTTCTTTGAACGTTCCTCTCTTACAAATTTTTAATTTAATTTTAATTTAATTTACTTATTTTAAGAAAAAAAAATATTAATCCCAAATTTCCTCCCTTTACTTTTCGCTGCCGTGGATCATTTCCATTCCTAATTTTCTTCCATACGATTTCGCTGAACCCTACTCGCATTCTTACTCCATTCCTAAATCTCTAAACATTTCTTAAGGTATTCTCTTTTCCCTTTCCTCATTACTTTCTGTTTGGTTCACTAGAAAATTTCCAATCGTGTATGTCAGTGTCTATCTCAGCTAAGATCATAATTTTCTAGCTAAGTTTCCTGACGTTAATTTCATTTTCCATAGCCAAACAGAAACTTCGTTTCGCTAGTAACTGTCGGATTTTTTTTTTTTTTTTTAATTTGATTTTAGTTTTCTAGCTTTAGTTATATGTTCTCTTGTTTTGTTGTTGATTTACGGAAACGGATTTGAGTGTTTCTCTCCTGATCTTTCATTTTTTTGGTAATTTGTGGATTCAGTTGTTGATCAATCTGTAACCATGGCGAGGAAGATGCTGATTGATGGAGAGCTGGGCCAAGACGGTGCTCATTACGACTTTGACTTGTTCGTGATTGGTGCTGGAAGTGGCGGTGTTCGTGCTGCCAGATTTTCGGCGAATTTTGGAGCTAAGGTAAGCTGTTGCATCTAAGCATGTAATTCTTCTTAGAGTTATTCAGTTCTGCTAGCTAATCTGCTACTTTGTCTTATTGGTGATCCTTTTTTTTTTTTTTTTTAAATTACTCATTTTCTTTCAAATATGATGTTCCAGGTTGGGATCTGTGAGCTTCCATTTCATCCGATCAGCTCAGAAGTGATTGGGGGAGTTGGTGGAACGTAAGTCAATTACTATAATACCTCTCTTGGTCCTGCGTACTAGTCCTACAGCACATCTGGGTGTGCTTTTTCATTAGACATTAACTTAATGATTTATAGTGATCAGAATTGATGTTTAATTTTGTTGAGAAGAAAGTTGCTTATGGTTGTGATATCTCTTATTATTGTTCTCCAGTTGTGTTATTCGTGGTTGTGTTCCCAAAAAGATTTTGGTGTATGGAGCTGCTTTTGGAGGTGAATTTGAGGTGAGAATGTAATCCTTTTCGAAATTTAATCTTTATAGATTGCTAAATGTTGTAATTTACATTTTAGGGTAACTCATGGTAGGTATTTCACTTTTTGAAGCTGCAAATGCTTGAAGTTTTGAAAATATTCTTTATCTACAGTTTCTCTATGTCAGTGTATGAAGACATTGGCTGTATTAATTTGTACAACAGTAAAGAATGAATGAGTTCTATAATTCAATTGGGTTTGTGTAATAATCAGGGCAGTAGAAGCTGAAATTGATATGGAAGTTTGATATCTTGCATTAGACAGGTAGAGTTGCAAATTAGATTCATGGAGCTGTTGGCTCTTCTGAGTTCTCATGCTTTCATAAGCTTTTGATTTTCTGTTTGTTTTTAAGAAAAGTGTTAAGGTTCTATTTGAAACTATTATGTCCTATCCAAATAGGAACAGTATTCAACTTACACCATAAGTGGGCCCTTCCAAAAATGAATTTTTTGTGTCTTTGATTTAACATGGCCCGGAGTTTGATGCTTTCTTTTCTCCCATGTTTATTTTATGAAAGGAAACTGAGCCCTAATTTCAGTATTTTTGCCTTGGTTTGAGTTCTCATTGTATCTGTCTGATTTGATTGTTGCCTGGTGAAATGAGATAGAAATTTTATTGTGTAATGAAATACAGAAATAGATTCATGAAATACAGAATAGATTCACAATTGGACTGATTTGAGATTTCTTATTGAAAATAATATGTCATGGAATATACTTTAGATTTTTATTTTGGTTTATCTTCTTTTGTGTTGTATACTTGTATTTTCTTTCAAGTACATCTCTTTGTTGTATTCCGTGGTAAAGCAACCAGTAGTTTCTGGTTGGCATGGTTCTTGGACCGTTCATATATATGTCTATTGTGTGTGTTATTATGAATCTATGAAATTTGTTTTGTAGGATGCTAGAAATTATGGATGGCAGGTGAATGATAAAGTTGAATTCAACTGGAAAAAGCTTTTACAGAAAAAGGTTGGTACTTCTTTCCCTCCCTATATTTGAGCATGTACAGTTTTCCAAATTTTCATCTAATATATTTTGGAGTGCGGTAAACAGGATTGATTCAAGTGTTTCAGATTCACTTTTAAATGCTTCCTGTATCTGGGATATCATAAAAGTGCTTGGATATAGATTCTTTTCAGCATTTCGTTATTAGCTATTAAATCCTGTACACTTTGAAGTTTGGGCAATTGAAATTCTGTGTAACTTTGGGTTCTCCCATCTGTTGTTGAGGTTTTAGTATGTAGCTTACTTTGTCTAAGTTCATAAGTGAATAATTTCCTGCAATAAGTTCAACTTTTATAACATCATTTTATCTTCTATGATGAATGTATTTTTGTATCTTCAGGAATATCACTTGAAATAGTTTTTGTGCTTTCACCTTTCTGAAAATTTGGTCACTTAACCATTTACCATGCAATTTCTTTTTATAAGTCCTTGTTCTCTTGTTGCTTTATGAATTATGATACATCCTAATTTTCCTTTTCAAATTGCAGACAGATGAAATAACCAGATTAAATGGCATTTACAAACGCCTGTTGTCCAATGCGGGGGTTAAATTGTTTGAAGGGGAGGGAAAGATCGTTGGTCCAAATGAAGTTGAGGTGATACAAATAGATGGAACTAAATTGTCCTATTCAGCCAAGCACATATTGATTGCAACTGGCAGTAGGGCCCACCGTCCTGATATTCCTGGGAAGGTAGACATTTGTTTTACTTTCAGTGAGATTGCTAGGTATGGTTGTGAACTTAGGTTGTATGTTATTTTGGCTATTCATTGGCCAGCAGGTATATATGGTTTGCATGGAAGTGCAATGGATTGTTTTTGAAGTGAGAAGAAATCTATTCAACTTTATCATATATCCATTGCCTCTTTCTTGTTTTTCTCTCAATTTGTTTGTAATCAGACTTAACAGTGCTCTTCATCCTCCAGCATTTTATTCCACTAAAGTTTCTTTAATTGGACGTACTTGAGTTAATCATTTTAAGCTTCTTTGATTGTTATTGCAACTAATGTTGGAAATATGAAAATGAAATTAAACTTAGTCTTATGAATGGTTGAACTAAACTAGGTCCAGCATGTTACTAAGTGTGATACTGCTTTTGGTTTGTTCTTTCCTTGTTTCTTGATGTCTTCTGCTTTAATGTTTTAGGAGTTGGGTATAACATCTGATGAAGCATTAAGCTTAGAGGAGCTACCGAAGCGTGCCATCGTGCTTGGAGGAGGGTGTGCCCTATATCACAGTGACACAATCTTCTGGTGTATTCTTTTAATATGCTGATTGTGCTCATTATTCATTTGATAACTTTTATGTAGGTACATTGCTGTGGAATTTGCTTCAATATGGAAAGGGATGGGTGTTACTGTTGATCTCCTTTTCAGGAAGGAGCTTCCGTTGAGGTTATTTTTCAAGCTTGACCCAATTATAGCTAATTGACATGGTTTCAGGATATAAATATGGAGTTGACAGATTTGAACCTTCTGATTTATTTTCAGTAAGAAAGTTTTTACAAAAACCTATACTGACTTCGAGGTTCTTTCACAAACTTTGTGAAACCTGGTTTGATACTTTTTGCATTCTGTTATGTTTTTACTGGCATATAATACCAATTTTTTGGTTGGAGTGTTTCTTAGTGGTTTCAAGGATAAAGATGAAAGATAACCCAGACTGTTACCAGATAATGAGATGGGGTTTGAAAACATAATATAGAAGTAATACAAACATTAGGTGCCATAAATGTGATTTTTATCTGTACTGCAGAGGTTTTGATGATGAAATGAGGGCGGTGGTTGCAAGAAATCTGGAAGGAAGAGGTATTAATTTGCATCCAAGGACAAATTTGTCAGAGGTACCCTTTTTCAAATTATGAGTTACTTGCTTTGCTTCTTTACTTTCCTGCGGTATTTCTTATTATAGATTTCATATCTATGAATTCAGATTATTGAAACAGAGGATGGCATTAAAGCTGTCACTGATCACGGTGAGGAGTTGGTAGCAGATGTAGTCCTTTTTGCCACTGGTAATTACAGTCCCCTTTTCAGATCCCCAAGCAATTTTCTTTTTTGTTTACTTTTCCTTGTCTTTCAGTTCATTCAGTTATGATTATATTATTATGCAGATGCATTTGATATGACTGTCTGAAGCCAATTGTTTTTTACTGAATGTTTGGCATGTTATAAGGTCATGCTCGGTTGGGAGTAATGGCTATTTCTTGGTAAAACCATAAAAATGGGGCAGACTTAATAAACTTACTTAAAGAAGCTGGGAATACATTTTCCTTTTTATTGATAATTTCCTTTTAGATTATGGAAAGGGAAAGGAATAATGGGGATGTGGTAATAGATTAATCATCCATTAATTTAGTAGAAAATTATCAATCTTAAGGAATAGGTATTCCAAGCTTCTTAAGCTTTATTTTTATGTTTTGAACAAGGAATATCCATTATTTCCAACCAACGGAGTTGCATTTCACTACCAATGTTGATATAATAAGTATCAGCAAACAATTATGTAATACTTTAATCTAGTAGGGATAGTAGTTCAAAAAGGGTTTGGGTGTTCTGGATTTAACTGCATCTCCAATTGGAAACTTTGAAAAAAAAAATATTCGAGCTTGAGTTTGTAGCTTTTTAACCCACGTCAGTGTACATTTTAATTTATATTCCCTTCTTTGAACAAGGGTATAATTAGAAAATCATGTTACTAATTTTCCTTTGTAATTTCTTCTTCTTCTTCTTTTTTTTGGCTTTTTTGACTCTGACAGCATTCTTCTTTTGTTGGTTGCAGGCAGGATTGCTAATACAAAGAGGTTGAATTTGGAAGCTGTGGGTGTTGAACTTGATCAAGCAGGAGCCATTAAGGTTACTGACTATTTTTATTAATTTCTTATCGTTGAACATGCAGTCAAGTTCTTTTGGAAATGAGCAGAGGGACACTCACTTCGTTGTCTATGATGATGCTGTTTTTAAAGTTGTTAATTTCATTGTTTATATCTCATAAACAGAATGAGTTCTGACATTCTTCTTTGTTCCCTTCATTCCCTTCAATGTTCATAAGTAGTTCAACTTTCCAGTCAAGGTCATGGAAATCTAATATGATTCCTTATTCTTTTAAGAAGCAGTAGTGGCTATAAAAGACATTTCATTTTTAGGCTAAAACTTTTTGTCTGCCAATTTACTTTTATTGGCCATAATTTCTGATACCTTATGTTTTATGAAAGGTTGAATAGGAGGGCATGATCAAGTTAAAGTAGCAATCTTTATTGAAAGATTTTATACATCTGAAAAGATAACTGTGTGAGTGAGGTTGATTGCTACTTTTACATTGCAGGTGGATGACTACTCACGCACAAACATACCCAGCATATGGGCCGTTGGTGATGTTACAAATCGAATGAATCTTACACCTGTAGCCTTAATGGAGGGAACCTGCTTTGCAGTTTGTATTCTATCTGGACCTTGTTCATTTCTCTGTCTTGAGTGTGCCATCGATTATCAATTTTTGCTCCATTTAAAAATCTTAAATGCATTGCCTGCAGAAAACTGTTTTTGGTGGACAATCCAGCAAACCAGACCACAGCAATGTACCTTGTGCTGTATTTAGGTAATGTTATCTTTTAGAGCACTCCTCTGCTTTTACTAGGACATGTTCTAAACAGTTGTAAAATATTTCTTAGTTCAAAGGATCACTAAAGGTCAAAATTATTCATTATTCTTTATACTTTGTGGTGGAAATTTTTGTCATAAGATTTTAAGAGCTATAATTTCCTGACTCCCTCTGATATAGAATAGAGTTCACCAACTGTAAGGTACACTTCAACGTTCTCCACCTGATTTAGGCAATGCCATTTAGCTTCTTAATGTTTAAAGTAGATATCTATTCATACTCTTTTTTTTTTCTTAGAATTCAAAAGGTCCATTTATACTTTCATTAGCACCTGATAACTGATATTGCTATATTGCAGCATACCACCACTTTCAGTTGTCGGTCTTAGCGAAGAACAAGCACTAGAGCAGGCAAATGGTGACATTTTGGTTTTCACATCATCCTTCAATCCAATGAAGAATACTGTATCTGGGTATGTGTTGCTGATTTAATATTTTATTTTGCTAACATTGTGTTTGGATATGGTCAAAAAAAAAAAAAAGTGTTTGTATCAAAAGATAAATTAAATTTAGTTATGACTAATTTTCTTGATCTTGTTTGAACTTTGCCCATAACATTCTGAATAAATTAGAATGTAATTTATTATTAGTTGGTATATATTTATTTATATCTTAGGATCAGCAGAGCATCTGTGTAACTCGTGTATGCGACTTTGTTATCTTTGAATTTAATTACGTTTCATGCTTCTCTCCAGACGGCAAGAAAAGACTGTGATGAAGTTAGTTGTTGATGCTGAGACAGATAAAGTTCTTGGGGCCTCTATGTGTGGACCAGATGCACCTGAGATTATGCAGGTACTTGATGCATGTGCTTGTTCATGTAAATCCGTTTCTTTTTATATGAGTCACAAGTTTGTCCATGACATTTGCAAGTAAACCAGTAAAAAATCAGTGAAGCACATTCTACTTGTCTTTTGGCTTAAATGATTTAGACTTTCCTGGCTAAATGATAGATTCTGCATACTCTGCATGCCCAATATAGGATACAAATAAGGCCTTTTTTTTCTTTTCATTGTGCATCCGATGTTGCAAAATTTCCCTCTCAGCATTGATTGTTCTTCCCCCCCCACCCCCTCCTCCCCTTTTTTTTTTTTTTTTTTTTTTTCTCTTTTGTATGCGTGTTTGTGTTTGTTTTCAATCCCATTGATATCTATGTGTATTTTCTGAAGGGAATTGCTGTTGCACTCAAGTGTGGAGCGACCAAGGCTCAATTTGACAGCACGGTAAGCTAAATATCTCTTTGGAGATAGATGACATTTTTTATGTGAATTACCATTCAATGCTTTTGCTATGCATTGTCAGACTTGAAATTTCAGCATCTGAGCTGAATTCAGTGATCTGAATTAACTCTTCTACTACCTGGGGACTGATTGATTAGGTTAGCTGTTGGATGATTAGGTTAGCTGTTGGATGTTGTTATTCCATGCTAGGGATGATGGTTGGGGAACAGAGCGGGCTGCGGGCTGTAGATTTTACATTTACTTCATAGTTTTTATCACATCATATAGTCTAGAATATATTTAGAGACATTCATTGTTATATTCTGTTGGCATTGGTGTCTCTGAGCGTTTCTTTTCAATACTTTCTTCCAGGTTGGAATTCACCCATCAGCAGCAGAGGAGTTTGTGACCATGCGATCACTCACAAGGCGTGTTTCGAAACCAAAGACGAATCTATAGGGTATGAATACATGATCGGTGAAAGAAATTATAGAAAAGTAGACAGCTGATAGAGGCTATCTTCAGTTGATGTTCTCATAATAAATGGTTGTTCCGTTCTGTTGTTGAACTTTTCTCTAGAATTATATAGGTGTTCTATAACGAATCTTTCACCGCATCATATACTTTTGGATTAGCTTGTCTTTCTAGTATTTGTTATGCAAATTATTTCCCATGACCTCCCACTTGTTCCTTTTCCAAAACTCCCTCTGGGATTCCATGCATTACATTTTTAACTTTAGACTGTCACAGTTTCTTCTTTTATTGCAGTACGTCTGTAGATAAATTTAGACATCTGGTGGACATAATTTTTTGGATTTGACTGTTTTAAAATGTGCACTTACCCTTTGTTTATAAAACAAGTTTTATTGAAAGTTCTACATAATTGTTGCAGTAATCGTGTATACCATCGATCTATAAAATTCAACATTTTTTGCATTTTCTTTTGGGTATTTAAGTTAGACCTTATACAATACGTTTGACCATAGAATACTTAGGTGACCATTTTCCCCTCGCATACATCACAAGTTATATATCCAAGGCCTTCGCAGTAAGGGCATTTGGTTCCCTCATCCACCCATTCCAAGAACTGCATCGGAATATTTAGTCATTGCTTCTGTTGCTAGTAACACCAATCACAAAAAGGCACAGACAGAAAGAAGAAATGCAGGACGGGAATATACTCTTACCTGTGGTTCAATGTTAGGCTCCCCTGTTCCATCACATTCTGCAACCACGAAGTTTGCTTTAAGTACCATTCTAATGTTAGGTTCAATATTTGATAAAACAAAGGCTAGCAACAATGCAAGGCACAAATGATTGACACCATGCGTTTCTTTCACTAGGAAGGATATTTGCAATAATTCACATTTGCGTACCTGTGCACATTAAGCGCCCCTCCCCACGACAAGTAAGGCATTTGGTTGTGGTTTCCCTGGCTTTGCTTGCAATAACTTGTTTGTCTCTGCCGATAAGTCTGGAGGGTTCTTCCCACCTATTTTCTCCAAGAAGAAAAACTCGCTGTTGAGAAACCTCAACTTCTGTAATACCATCTTCTTCAATAACTTTCTGCTGTATTTCTGAAATTTCTGTTATGGAAGCAACCGCAGCTCCATTTGTCTCTTCCTAAGAAAATAAAAGTTAAAAGAAACTGAGCCAAGTAAGGTAACCAACCATTTGGGTACCAAAAGTTGCCTCCTGTACAATCTGAAGTCTGAAGATACCTTCTGTGGAACAGTCAAGGAAGCTCCCCTTTTATCTGCATTACTGTTTGAGCTAGAACCCTGAATTCTTGGCTTCATATATAACCTCTCGAGAAGCTCTGCGGTCATTATTCCATTTTCAGGGCTACCAATTGTTGCCTGCCATGAAAAGAGATTATTTTCTAATGAATACCAGGAGACATAGCATGATGTAATTCACAGAAACAAGATTTCCTGAAACATGGAAATTACAGCTTACTTGCCAAGTCTTCACAGCACGCTCAGTTCCATCTGAGAAGCTGGAATACTCCATGTCCTCTTCACCTGAGTAAAATCCCAATTTCTCCAATGCTTCCTGTCATAATCACAAAATCATGAAACAAATCAGTTTTTACAAGAAATCGCTTCAAATCCAGGAAAGCCCTCAAACAACAGAGGTTGAATTCCAACACAGTAAATATATATGCTTCTGCTGAGATTTTTAAAAAACTAAACCATGAAATACTAAAGTTTGGTATATTGAAGAACAGAAAACAGTACTAGCATTAGACAAAAACCACAAAGACTCGCCTTTAGGATAAACACTTAAGCAGAAGAAATGGTGAATTGCAAGCAGACCTGCAGCTCTCGCACGTCGTCTCCTTCGCTGCCTTTTCTCAACACTTTACTCTTCATCTTATCCCCATCTTGCCTCCGTTCCCTCTCCAAAACCCTGATTCCTTGCTCCACCACCATTTCGTTCACCTCCTCACTCTTCTCCTTCAAAACCATCTCTCTCGCGCTCGTCCCACTCTCTGCAATCAAGTTCTTCTCTTTCAGAACCTGTAACAGAGCACCGATATTTGCAATTGTCTCTGAAACCGAAGCTCCTCGAGTGGGATTTCTATTCTCCAGAGACAGTATCTGGAGCTTAAGGGCTGAGATCTCCTGGAGTAGGGATTCACGCTCGCGGAGCCAGCGCTGCTCTTCACGAAGCCAACGTTGCTCCTCCCGAAGCCAGCGCTGTTCTTCACGTAGCCAACGGACTTCTTCGCGGTCAAAATTGGAAGGAGATGAGAA